CCCGAGTCCGGGAGCCTCCTGCCGGGGCGGGGAGTGCGGTGAACTGGCGGCGAGGTCCCGGGGCAGGTGCCCCCATCCCCGGCGAGGCGGGTGGCGGCCCGGGGCCTCTTCCCTGATGCGGAGCCAGTTGGCCTGCCCTCGCCACCGCCCCGGCGGCCTCCCGTTTCCATGTTCACATTAACCCACGTCTGGGGGGGGGTTAGGGCGAGGTGGCCACGGGGCAGGGCGGCTCGGTGACTTCCTACTCCAGCCCGCAATCTGACTTCACGGCCCCCCGGGGCCCTTTACGGGCTCCCCCCGCCCCCAGCCCCGTCCTGGAATGCCTCCCTGCACCAGGGGGACACGGGATGTTTTGAGGACAAGTGACATCGAGGAAGGAGGTGCTGGGATCCTGAGGCAGTGGAAGCCCTGTTAATTGTGGCTAATTTCCCCTTGGCCCTTGTGCCACGAAGGATTGTGTGTCCTAGAGCAAGGGGCTGGGCCAGGCCCAGGCCCAGGCTTTCCTCCTGCATGGCTGCCTCGGCCCAGCTGGGACAGGTCTGGCTGGTTAGGGTGGTGCTTGTTGGAGGGGGGAGGGAGGCCATCAGTGTCTTCCCCAGACTGGCAGGGGTCATGGAGAAGGGGGGGAGCATCAGGGAAGCACCCCCCCGCCCCTGCCTGGGGAGAAAGCCAGGGACTTAGCCCTTTGCAGGTACAGGCTGTCCTCTGGATTTGCGCTCACCAGTATGTTCGAGTGCTGGTGCCTTGGAGGACGCACGTGCAGGGTGTGTCTTTGTCTCGTATCTTTGTTTGGGTCTCCCCCACGGCTTCTGTGTGAATGGGACTAAATTTGGAGACTAAGGGTGAGACCAGGGGACAAAGGGTGGGGCCCCTGAGTTCTCTAAGAGAGCAGGGGTGTGGAAATAGATCTGAGGGAGGGTTCCAGGCTACTTGGGAAGAGGAGGAATGTTCAGGGAGTTGTGGAGACTTTCGTAGGGTTAGGGTGTGACGAAGGAGCCAGACACTGCGGTCCTGTGGGCAAGACGTGAAAATGACTGGCGAGGACTGCTTTTCCTCCAAGGCTGTGTTGGGGTGACAGGAGGCTTGGCGATCGTCTGCGGAAACATAAATAGAGGCCTCCCTCGTGGCAAAAAGGATGTGAGGGCCCCGGGGTGTTAGTGTGAGAACCCAGGTGTCCACCTTTGGCTCTCCCCTCTCAGCATCTGGCTTAGGGAGCTGCCAGCTTGTGTCTCCCCACTCCAAGTGCTGGGGTCAGGCCAGGCCAGCAGCTGGGCATGGCTTCCCCGGTTCCTGGGCAGGATGCCAGCTGGCTGAGCGAGGGGGAACGCAGGAGGGGCCCTGGCGGCGTCTGAAAGGACCTGCCACAGTCAGAGCCCATGGCCTAGAGCCTGCTCCCTTGTTAGCAGGAGGGGAGAGGAGGGAGTGGTTTGGCTGCTCTTCCCTCCTGACCCCTGACCTCCCATTCAGAACCCAAGCGCCCCAGAGTACTCGAAGCACTCTCTGTGCGCATGCAGCGAAGGGAGGCAAGGTTTGGAGGAGTTCATGGCCGAGTTCCTGGAGAGTTGGGAACAGAAGAGGTGAGGGAGGGTGAGGTCTAGGGGCCGCCGAGACTGGTGGCTCAGGGTTTCTGGTGCTCTCCGCTCCAAAGATAAGGACGACCTTCGGCTGCTGCCTTCGGCCTTGGGCGTGAAGAAGAGAAAACGAGGACCGAAGAAGCAGAAGGAGAACAAGCCAGGGAAGCCCCGAAAACGCAAGAAGCTCGTAAGTGTCGAGGACTCCCGTCTCCACGGCGAGGCTCGGCAGACCTGTTCTCGGAGACCCGCGTTCCCTCTGGTCCCCGTTACCGAGGGTGGGGGGATCCTGAACTCAGGGAGGTCTGACGCCCCTCCCCGCTCTTGCTGGCCTGGAGCTCGTGGATGGCGGGGGCAGGGGGCGGC